GTTGTGTTCATATAATAGTCAATGTGTTAAAATACTGTTTTTTGTTGTGGTGGGAAGAAAGGACTATGTTAGTTGAGTGCCCTATATACATTCACTCATGTAGGTACTTCTTTTTATTAAGACACACTGGTCAGCTTGGATGTTGCCACCTTTGTATTTATTTCAGTGAAGCTATTTTTTACATGATCAGATTAGGCCTTTTGTTTGTGATTTTTGTTTAAGCTGTCTGGCCTAGTTTTGTTATATTTATTTTATTTATTTGGCAACTTCCTTTATTCTTACCCATATTCTGTGATTGTCTTATAATCTATAATTAAAATAAAAGACATCTTATTTGTCATATCTGCTCTGACCCCATCACTCTATTGGTTGTTGGTGTGTTACTGTCCTTCTGTACTCCTCGTTCCACCCAGGGGACGTAACAGGGACTGTTGGGACTAAGCAGAGGTATATGCTCTCTGAGTGCCATTCTAGTTAGAAATGAAACTGCAGAATTGTAAGATGTGTATCTATTGTCATTTCTCTCTTCTTTCTCATAACTATGACAGAAGGGATTTCTAGAAAGCCATCCTGGGAAATGTTGGATGCTACATGAAATACAAGTAGGTGAGACGGACTGAATGAACTGAAGGTTCCCTCCACCCCAGAAATGTAATTTTCACAAACACGGCAGACTGCTGACACATAAGAGTGAAGGAACTTAAGATAGAGGATTTTCTCCCTTTGAGAGCAAAATAAACACCATTCTCTTGGCAGAGAGATAACTGAGAGCAGGTCTTGCCAACATCAGTTATCGTGATCTATCATCCTGATTATAGCTCTTGATAGAAAAACCCATTGACCAGTTGCTGAGGATGAATGTGGAGTTTGTAGCGCTCACTGCTACTGACCAATGATGTCATGTTTTATCTTTTTATGATGGCATATTAGAGTTACCCACTGCTGCCATTTGGGGCTGTCAGCAAATAAACCCACACTGTGTAGCTTTGTCCGTTAAATTCTCAGCCACTCAGTACAGCTAACAAAAGGAGGCTGTGTGTATGTACAATATATCAGGACTGTGCTGAGTAATAGCTCAAGCTCTTAGTGAAAACACAAGCAGGATGACCAAGGCTGAAATGAAATTAGGACAGGCGTGGGAATAGGGTTAAGGTCATTACATCCTCACATGTTGTTCATTAAGCTCATCACTATCAGTCTTCTTGTTGTTAGCCTTGCTTACAGCTCGATGGATAATGCTTCACCACTTTGGTCCTGACTGGACTACCACTCTGTTCATGCTCCTCAAAGGATGGACCTTTGGTGATCCCCCTAACTTTTCTCCTATTCCACCAAATACACCACTTACACTTACGTTGCAGCTCCATCACGGCAGCCTGGGTGAACAGCTGCCTGTGTGTGCGTATGCGTCCATTAATCAGGACATGTCCCCGATCACGACATGTCATGCATGAATCTTATTCCCCATTCCGATTTTGCTGGAGCAGCTCGCGTCTCTGAATCATCTAATTCACTTGTAAATGTATGTAAATGTTTGAATGTATTGGCAATTGACGTTGAGTTCATATTTAATGATGCATGGAGATGGCCCATTAAACCTATGTTCTAGTCCATCTCCGCTCTCTGTTATCACCTGTTTCAATGCAAATAGATACTTTTCTGTTCTGTGCAGTCAGACGCTACATTAGTCGTGTCAACATCTGTGAGATGGATGAGCAGACAATGGGCCTCATGCAAAAACCTCTCGTATGAACAGATTTGGTCACATTTACCAATTTTCTCATATGTTGAATTTTCTCAAGGTGCCTTCAGAGGAAAACAAAGACTCTAATTTGACTTGATATAATAATAATGCTTTCATTTGGATAAAGTGAAAGTTTGAACACAAAATTGACAGAGATAAAATATATAACTATGAAATATGTAATGGAAAACAATATTGTATTTAGTCATTGTATTGACATTTACCTTGACCTGAAATCTAATCAGTTTTAGGTTCAAATGACAACTGGTCAAAATTTTAAGAAATTTAAAAGAAACTGAAAACAACAGACTTGAGATATTAAGTTCAAGAGACCAGAAACATGTTTTGTGGGCCGCTGTGACCTTTGACCATCCAAATCTAATTTAAAAAAATTACCTTGATGCATTCTTAAGATTATGTGTTCAAGATTCAAAAATTGGTGTTGTGAGATCACTGTGACCTTGACCTTTGATCACCAAATCATCAGGTCATATACATACTGTATACCTATGGATTGATGGTAACCATATTGGTTACCGGAGGTAGGGAGTATAGGAGTCAGGGTTGACCGATATGGTTTTTTCAGGGCCGATGCCTATTATTAGAAATCAAGGAGACCGATAACCTATATTTTAAATGCAGCCTCATAAACTCTGGAGCGAATCAAACAATTACTCAGGAAACTTCATGTACTGATCAGGTCCTTGCGATGAATGTTGGTGTTTATTAGTTCAAGTAAGAGCAGGTCAGCAGGAGAGTGGAGGAGGACACAGGAAACTCCAGTACGGTACAAACCAACCCTCTGATCATTGTGCAGCTGTGGACCAGAGAGAAACTGTATTTTCACTGTTTGTTTCCACTGTTCTTCAACAAAGCTGCTTCGTGTTAACGGTTTTTAACAGCAAACAACAGAGACACGCAGCAGAACAGCGATCAGGCGTTTCATTTGAAACACAGGTCTGCTTCATCATCAATGTTGTTCCAGTCTGAAATGCGTTCTGCTGCGTTGTCTGTGGCACTTCAGTGTCAAGTGTTGATTGGCGGGACATCGCTCAAGACCACAGAGTGGTGACTATAGACAGAGAGAGGCGGCTGCATCAGAGCCAAGAGTTCACACAGATCACAGATTATCTAAAATACGGCAAATATAGGCCCTGATAATTGCCCAGGTCGATAACTGGTTGATCCCTAACCTCTGGCCACTGGCTGTCACTGGTGCAAGAATTTTTGCATGAAGTCTGGTGTGTTGACTTTTGTCTTCTCCTGTACCACCACGAGCCTGACATTTGTGGTTTTAGGCGAAATGTCTCAGCAACTGCCGTTAATACATTCATGTCTCCGTCAGGATGATAGTTACCACTTTGGTGATTCCCTGTAATTTTACAAAGCACCATGATCAGGTCAAAATGTTTGGATGACCAATAGTTTG